AACGGTCAACAATCTGGACACAGGAGAGATCGGCTGGACCAACCAATGCGTGAAAACCAAATGAGGCCACGCTCCATGAGGTGAGGAGACTTTGCAGATCAACGCAAGGCGGGCTTTTGTCGCCGCACGCATACAGACGACGGATCACTGTGATCAACTACCTTCTTGCGACGAGACCCATTGACAGTTATGGAACAAATGGTTCAACAGCTGAAGGATGCGACGAGTAAAGTCTACAACATCGTGGTGTCGAAATGGTTCAGGCCAGTCAGCAGGAAGGGTAATCCATTGGCCATTGGCCCACAGCAAAGAAGGTTGCCCATCATCATCCTGGCGAGAATGAGCTGCCAAGAGTTCTGAGCTGGTCAGTTGATGCCAAAGTCCCTGCATCTCGGTGGAGTATTTGTTGGTCAATGCCAGTTTGACCCTCCATTGGGATGACAACTGATGGCTTGTCCGTGTCCGCGCTCAACTGTTTTTGAATCTGATGGTTGGGAGCAATGCTCCAAATCTCTTGATCAAGGCCGCACAAAAAAAGAAGCTGGAGTGTGTGTGTATCTTCGCGCTTTAGGACCAGACGACTGAGGACCTTCAGCAGATCTGTCTGTCTCCTTGGCTTGGTCGTCCCTTTGTGTGTCTTTCCTTTTCCTTTTCCTTTTCGCCGGCACTTCGACATGGTGGACCGGAGGCGCTTGAGGCCGTGGTTCTCGTCTGACTCGACCTCCACCTTCATCCAGGCGCTCAAGGCTCCCCGCAACTCCGAGACCTGTGATGATGTCCATGGGCATGGCGCAGAATGGCCAGCAGGGCAGAAACTTGATCATGGGCAGTGTTTTTTTCAAAAGCAGTAGGTATGTTTCAAAAAACTTCCCTGTCAGCCTCGACGCGGATGCCGATATCCAGTGGTGGAAGCAACGGTTTAGGAAAGCGCCAAAGGATAATTCTACTATAAATAAGTAAATTGTTACTATGGGCAGTAGCCACCGGAAGGCGGATGCCGCAGAAGTGTACTGGACAGGAGCTGCCAGTTTTTTTGATGATAGGCAACGGTACGGAGGGGCGACAGAGGTGTATATTATCTGTCCAGTGGACTAGTGAGTGTCCATGGAGTTCGCTGATTTCAGTGGCCGTGGGCGGTTGAAAAAAAGGTTGGTTGACTCCGCAAGAGGGGGAGAGGGGGAATGGGAAAGGTGGAGGCGGCGGCGATAAGCTTCTGGGAGGGTGAGTTCGGCCCACGAGGACGAGGTCGGCCTCGGACTCGGCGGAAAGCGTCTCCCCGCAAAATGCGGTAGGTATGGGAAGGCATGAAGGAAGCTAGGTATTCTAGGCTGTATTCATGGCGTAGGAGATGCCCTAAGAGGTTGAGGCGTCAGCACTGGTGACGAGGTTGCAAGATGCCTCGGATATCCACCACATTGGCCGGGCGGGGCCTGAAAGGAGCACGGACGGATTTGACAGCGCGCCACCGTTGGGAAGGGGCGCTATGGTGGTCTTCGATGAACCGGGCGTGCAGCCGGTGAAGTTTGTCGCAACGATCACAAGGAGAAGGGATCCTGGCTTGAAACAACAATGGGAAGAACCTCATTGAGAAGTGTATAGGCGTGTATAGGACGCAGTACTGGGACAAGAAGTAGCAAAGTCCTCTGTCCTGCCATAGAGGTCGAAGGTCACCTTCATCATGAGTCATGATGCTCCAAGAGCTTGGTACGATGCAGGAGTGGTGTTGGAGGCAGGTTCCGATGGCCATCTCTACAGGTGCATCAGACCTGTCACACTCAGCCATTAAGACTGGGAGGAGGATGGATGAGGGAGGTGGCCAACAAGATAGGTTGAGGCATTTGGCTCAAAGGCTGGTTGATTCGAGGGGCTGGGTTTTGATGGTGGGGCGATGAGCCTTGTCGTGCCTTGTCCCACGCACACGAGGAAGGTCATGATGAAAAGTGATGAGTGAGATCAAGGCCAACATCGACACTGCCATGCAATGTGGCCTCATGGTATGGCCAGGCCTCTTCGGAAACATTCAACAAAGAAATCCTTCGTTGAACGTGCTCCGATGCAGTGGTTGCAAGCGCACGGAGGACGATGAGGCGTGTGACGCACGCCGTACGCGCGCAAGGGTATCTATGCGGAGAGCTTTCTTGTGTGGGAAGTCGTGAGCTAGCCACGAACGTAGCACTTAAGAAAGGAGAGCAGGAGACAGATGCAACGAGACGTAGCACCCCACACGTGCCATTACAAAGGCGCCACACTTCAGAGGCAGCAAAGGCACGAAAAGTATGACTGCAGTACGCTTCAGTAGCTGAGCAAATAGGGCACTAACTCCGGCAAGGTCTTGCGCACACATCAAGCACAAGCAAGTCAATCACTAGCTCAGATCGCAATGTTGGCATTGCTGGTGATGAGTCGCATTAGAGGAAATGGCATACTATGGGAATTTCTTAATGAGGCAGCTTGATGAGATGAGAAGCTCATGGCCATCTCCAAGAATCTCCAAGAGAGCATCAGACCCTGTCACACTCAGTTAGTAATTCACCCAATGAGGGTCACACTCAGCCAGTCAGCCACCGCGGGGGAGGGCATAACATTGATATAATTATCAATGATTTGAGATCTTTGAGGCTGCCGTCAAGAGCGACTCCAGCTAGCTGAGGCTAGCTTTCGTGAAAAGGCCGCATGAAAGTAACAAGAGCTGTTCGTTGCGACAATCATGCGAGACTGCGTGACATGGTGCAAGACCGAATGTCATGCGGAAACCCAGCAGGAAATTATCACATCATAGGTAGGACAAAACAAGACCATGAATGTCTAGTTTCACACTAGATTGGACAAATGCCACTTCAAAGGAATGATGTTCCTAATCAGGAAATGGATCTGCAAGCGCAATGAGGAATTCTTTTTGTGTTGGAACACTAATTCTTGCGACTTTAGATTGCATCTGGTTTGGAAGTCTCAGGGAGGATCTTCTTCCGAAGCTAAAGCTAATTGAACTCAGTCGTGAGGACTATGACTATGACTATGAGGAACTGCGACCATGTAAGCCCAACGCAGAGCAGACGCCGTGTGTCCTAAGCAAGCAAGCAAGCAAGCAAGCAAGCAAGCAAGCAAGCACGTACCCAGGCCAGAGGCCAGAGGCCAAGCAATGCAAGGCAACCAAAGCAACAAAAGCAAACAAACAGCCAAGCAACCAAGCAACCAAGAAGCCAAGCAAGAAACCCAGCAAGCCCAGCAAGCAAGCAAGCAAGCAACCAAGAAAGCCCAGCAAGCCCGGCAGGCAAGCCCAGCAAGACCAGCAAACAAGCAAGCAAGCAAGCAAGCAAGCAAGCAGGCAGGCAGGCAGGCAAGCACGCAGGTAGGCCAGGTGGGCCAGGCAGGCAGGCAGGCAGGCAGGCAAGCAAGCAAGCAAGCAACGGAAGCTCATCAACTATTGATGCAGAGAACTGTCGAAAAGCATGGACGATTGCACCTGAGTCGTACCAGCAGTCTTACCGCCCGTTGAATTGCTGCAACAAACTTGAGAGCTCTCAGCACCAGCCTTGGGTGCAAAAAGTGCCAGCATGCAGGCAATGGTGACAACCCAATGATGAACCTGGCATCCGTGCACACAAAGTATGCTCAGGAGCTTGATATCAGCTTTGGTTGCGCTCAATTGCATGGAGTATGCGTCCTTCATCAAAAAGCTGGTTGCTGCAGGCATAGGGCACCTGATCATCTCAAGCCATGTGATATCTCAAGATGTTGACACACTGAGAGCATTGCATGTCGCGGCTTTGCGAACCAAAAAGCGCAAAGACATACCTGCAGAATTGAGCTTGTCATTCTCAAGAGCGGAATCAGCATCACATAAGCCATAAGCATTTTGGTTGGGCAGTGCCGAAGCGTCTCAGGACTGTGCCAAAGTGATTTGTTGGGAAGCTCTGCAGCTGAAGCAGTGAGCCATCGACCTTCAGTCAAGCTTCCCAAAAACTATCGGAACAAATCATGAAGGCTCAGGCTTCTTCAAAGATTGTCAGGGAGCTCCCTAAGCTACCAGCAACTTGAGACAGCCCACCCTACCACCCTCACAGCACCACATCACAGCTCTGGCGCTCCCTGTGGCTGAGCTGCAAGCCACACATGATCCCGGAGCCAGAGGCCACAAGCAGAGAAAGCCAAACGAGTACTGGGAATATGAAGGCCTTGTGCACAGAAATCTGGAAAACGCGTGTGAACACAACTTGTGGGCCATTGACCATTGAGGATCATGGCTTCTGGCCTGGATCGCAGCCGACAAGATCCACCGTGATCGTGGAAATCCATCCAGCTCCTATAGCAAAAATGACAATAAAGGAGTCACGTTTGACATTTTGTCCTTTCTACTCCCAACTCCAACCTGCTCTTCTTCATCTTTGTAACACAGGTGGAGCAACCTCAACGGCTTTCCACAAAGCAGTTGAAGATTGAATTCAACGTAGTTCTGAGCACATTGCTGGTTGACGACAAGTCCACCAACCTTATAGTAAAAAAAGAAGTGCAACATGAGACGCTGATCACCAAGACTGACCTTCAGCTGGGGTCCAAGCGGTTGCAGCAAGGAGCCCAACACTAGCAGCACGGACAAACTTAAGAGTGAAAGCCTTAGTAAAAGCTGATGCTTTGAGATTGTCTGGTCAACAGAGAGTCATTTTATCAAATGTCTGCTAGGCTCCCCGCTCCTGTAGCCATGGCGGAGTCTGAGACTAAACGCAATTCCCCAAAAAAAAACACAGCGTCTTGTGCCAGTGCGCGTCCAGTCAGCCCTCAAGCCTCCACACTATGTTGGTCTTGTTCATCATGAAAGCCCTTTAAACCCTGTAATGCTGCCGTCAACAGTAGCATTCTTATGTGTTTCAGACCATATATATATATATATAATGGCAATATCCTGATGAGCCAAAGCTCAATGATATGTGGCAATGCAAAGAATGCGGTATCGGTATCCGTGTAGCCACCAAGCTGTGGAAAAGCTGGACAGTCGAGGAAGCCTCGTTGAGCTCAAAAGACAAGAAGGAGTTCCACTCCCTTTCCTTCTCCTTGCCATTGGAAAAGTGACAAAATATATGGGTGGCCATGTCTTTCTCTCGAATCTGCAAGCAAACTGGTTTGACGCCTCTGCAGTTTGCTTTCTTTTGCGATCTTTGGCTCTACCAAACGCCTTCAGCTCATGCCTCTTGGCTTTCTCCTTCTTGTCCTTCTTATCCTTCTTATCCTTCTTCCTCTTGTCCTTCCGTATTTCACCTTTCTTGTCCTTGCTGCGCTTCTTGTTGTCCCGCTTGTCGCTCTTGCCAGCCTGGCTTTGTGTCTGCTTTGTTGCAGTTTCCACAAGGCCTGTCTTGCTTCATGCCTCTCGAGTCTCCGAATGGTCTGGCTCTTCTCTAGAATCTTCTCCTGACAGATCGCAAATGCATGCAACGGTATGAATAAGCCTGAAAACCCGTTCCACTCTCTTCCTCTGATTCCTGTCTCAGCTTGTGCTACCTGTCGCAGCCAAGGACTGCCAGCACAATCAAAACTTAGCTGCGAATTATGTTTCAGTGCCTCATCAGTTGCTTCCTCTTCTTGTCCTCAGTCAACCTACCGCCCACCTATGCAAGCGTACAAACGGGGAGCTAAGGGAGGCACCGTGCGCAGGACGTCTAGGCATCTACCGACACTCCATCCGAAATTAGCATGGCTGCTTTGTACTACGCAATGCGTCAAACACATGAAAAACATTATCATGTATATACAAGCAGGCTAGTTTTTTCACTCGAGCAGGTCAAGCAGGGTCTGCAAAGTGGTTTGATGAACGCCCCAAGCACTATTGGATTCTTTGATCCGACCTAGTATTTGAGCCTTGAGTGAAACACCCAAACAACCATCAGCAGGAGGACTATAATATGCACGTAGCAACATGAGGGAGAAGCTGCTCAAAGGTCTTTACTCCACACGGGTCTTCAGGCCCTACAACATTCCACACTAGGAGCAAGGACGCTACTAGGGGCTCCTGGCCGTACTACTAGGAGCAAGAAGCTACTAGGGGTTCCTGGCATCGCTACTAGGAGCAAGGACGCTACTAGTAGCTCTTGGCCCTACAACGATGCCAAGCAACTTGGCGCGCTGGGCTAGGAAAACCAATTGGGTTTACTGCAGAAACCTGTTTTTTGTCATGAATTTGATGCACTACTAAAAGGCCAAGTGCCTTCCTTACAGCACGGCGCTAGTACATGACTCCACCAATCTTTATGTATTGTGACTGGCAAAAAAAGGAAAGTCAAAAGGAGTTGAACAAAACCACAGCATAGCCCCAAGTGCTCTATCATCGGCATGGTGAATGGATGAATGATGATGAATTGCACATTGTTCTCAGTTAACGGAATGCTTGTTTTCGGACCTAATCAATGTCCTTGCTACAGTAGCTGGTGAGCACCCCGAGCCATGCCACGAGCTCCACGTCTTTCTGGCTGGCAGATTGCGCCATTCTGTGAGACTAGGACAATTGTGAAACAAAATCTCCGCGAAGAGCTGGCAATCTGCCAGCGCTCTGTGGTTCACTCATCCCGCGTCATCTTAACCCGGGATGCGACACTCCAAACGAAGAACGAGGCTCTCGTCGAGCAAAACAAGCAAAGCGCATGTTCTCGACTCACCGGGACTCACCGAGTGCACCGGATTCATCGGCTCCCATTGCCTCCAGCACTTTCAAGGCTTTTGCTTCATCTGGCCTCGAAGGCTAAAGCTCTCTTCCTATTCCGCATCACAATGTGATCTTTCGCATATCACAATGTCTGAGCAATTGCAAGACTGAAGAGCTAAGAAAAAGTCTTCCGCGAGGCCAGTGGACCACTGAGGCTGAAATCCACCTTCAACACACCAAACTTCTGACGATATATCGAACTATTGTATGTATATATGTATATACGTGCTTATATAGTTTTTTGTACGAGTATCAAGCATTATATAAAACATATCATAATATATTGTGTATGTATATATATATATATATATCTACCTGAAAAGGGAGGACGAAACCCAGCCTCTGGCTTACGGGGTGCCCTCAGGGTAGGCCCGGGCAAAGACTTGGCGTGCAAGAGGAAGTGATGGGGTAACGTCGGGCAAAAATTAATTTCATGGGGTGAAGTTGACATCGCAGCCACACTGATAGGGGGTAGAAATGGAAAGTAGAAGACATAGGTCTGGGGGGGCGGTGCCCCTTTTCGCCCCGGCTCAGGGGGGATTTGGAGGCGAAAAAGGGCACCCCTCAGGAAGTGAGGCACGCCTTGCGGGCGGCGTGTTGCGAATCAGTGAGCAGAGACGGCGGTGGGGGTTCATGTGCGAGGCTATGGGTAGGGTAGGTTAGGAGATATAATATATATATATATGTGCGTGTGTAGGTAGAGTGGACAAAGAGTAGCCGGAAGTGGTGAGGTTGATATTCAAGCGACGTGAGTGTGCAAAATGAATTGATAGGCTGACACTATGTAAAGAGCACGTGAATGGGGTGAAGTTGACATCGCAGGTACGCGATAGGAGGTAGAAATACAACCGTAGAATTAAAAGGGGGGCGCCCTTTTTCGTGCGGGCGCAGAAGTGTTGTGGAGGTGAAAAAGGGCGCCCTCAAAGATGTTGCGTGAGTTCGTCGGTGGCGTGTTGGCAATGAGTGACCAGAGACAGTCGTGGGCGAGGCTATCGGCAGACTTTCGTGAGGACATATATATTTTTTTTATCTATGTATTTGTTTATTTATATGCATATAGGTAGAGTGGACAAAGAGGTAGAGTGGACAAGGAGGAGCTGGAAGTGGTGAAGTGGCTATGGCCGTCACTCGACATTCCAAGCTTAACTGAGAACCAGGGGGTATCTAATCACGAAAGCCAGCCGTCAACTCACTTGAAACATGGACCAACCTTCCCCATACTACAAGGGTGCCCTTTTTCCCCTCCACAACGCCCCGACATCGAGACGCAAAAGGGGACCCGTCCCAAACCTCTGTATTCTACTCTTTATGTCCAGTCTTTCGAGTTCGGAGTAAGTGCTATGGTTTCCAGCAACAGCTGGCCACTTCAAATGGCGCCAAACTGCCAACCTCTGTGGTATGGATGCAATGCGCAGTCTCATACGTACAAAATAGTTCAATAACTGCACAAGATTACACATGTGATTGGTAGAGCAAGGAGATTGCACAAACTCAAGACAATGGTCTATGTCCACGTTTGTCGACCCACGGGAGAAGTGCTTCTCAGCTTTGGAAGCTTTCGTCGCAGGGACGGGATCTTAACAAATGTCATATGGGGCGCCCTTTTGTGTCCAGTAACTAGACCTTGCCACGGAGAAAAAGGGCACCCCTAAGCAATTCAAAACCTTCCCGCCTCCAACGCTTGCCCGCTGCAATCTCTTCTCTGTCCTGCCCTCCACCACACAACCCAACAACTCCAAATCGTCTGCCTCCAGCGCTTGCTCGCTGACCTTCCACCTCCACGCTTGCCAGCTGCAATCTCTTCTCTCCTGCCCTAACCCCCACATCCACATGAACTCCCGCCACATAGGGAGTGGCCTCTTCAGTTCGGTTCTCTCGCAGGCCCTCAACAGATGGCATCATGCACTCTCTTCTCTCTCCTGCCCTCAACAACCCCCCAATCCACGTGACCGGCATCACAACACCCTTCAAACCACTCATTTTTTACTACCAAGTGGCCCACCTCTTTCTTTCGCTCTCCCCACCAGGCTCTGGCCCCCCCACACCCCCTTTACTCACTTCGTTCGCTCCAACAACCTCAAGGCCTGCCTACCGGCTGGGCTTCGTGATAATACGTGTATGTGTATACAATATATTATATATATGCGGAAAGTGCGACCTTTCTGGCGGTTAGGGCGTGCGGTACATGTGCATATGTCGAGGTGCGTTGATTTTCACACTCCTCCTTTGAGCGGTGAGCTAAGGTTTTGTGCTCATTGCTCAACTTCCAGCTCTAAAATGGTAGGTCTTCGCAATCCAGAAATTCGTAATGCTTGTCCATCTCTCCATAAACTTCATACTTTCGCTCATGATCGTTGTTCTGGTTTGCGTCCCACCATGCCTGTTCACACCTCATCAAATGTTGTTTAGCCCTTAGGCAGGAGCGTGCCGCGGGCTTGTCAAAAGTTGTCAACCTGCGAAACTCTAAGCCTGAGATCCAACCCTTGGTAGCTTGGCTGATGGTTGGGTCATCACGACTCTCAGGCGTCTGCGTTCCCTCGCTCAGTACTGCTTCTTCTGGTATCGCCTCCTGTGGTGCTTCTGGTGCGTCTGTCATCTCAACATCTCCCTCACTCTCGGGTTCACGAGGCTCGATGAACCTCAATGGTATCTCAACCACTTCTCCTGAATCCAGTCGTACCTGGACTGTCTCCTCGCCTTCAATGATGTCGTCATCCTCATTCTCTGTCTCCTCCTGTTGTGGACTGGGGTTTCCCAACGGGATTTGCTGTTCATCCAACTCTTCATCTCGTTCTTGCTTTGCCTTCAGGTACTCCTTGACTTGGGCATCCATCCTCCGAAGATCAAACTCTCGGTGCTGTGCTGTAGGTAGTTCCAGTGCTTCCAATCTTCCTCGTGGAACTCCGTTGCATCAACATATCCTGAAGCTTTCACCAAGCCTCTGTGGATTTGCTGCGCATAGGTCTTCAACTCCTTCACCTCCTTGTTGACCTCCTTCACTTTCTCTTCAACCTCATATGTCATTGCCCCCTGGGTCATAACATCCACATGACTGTCATCCTTCATTTGTTGGATTGCAGTCTCAAGCACTTTGATGCGTTTCCACATCATCGCCATCATGATCATCACACTGAAGACCAATACCGCCACAATCATGATGATGAAGAACCACCACCACCAATCACCATTCTCCTTGGGCTCAATCTCCATGGTGTTGTCCCTCACTCCGGCCACCTGCTCAAGGCCCCCAAGTAGCAGGATTCGATTGAGCAACTTCGCCAACTTGCTAATCTTGACTTGGTTTACGCTCATCTCCTGCAAACGGCCATGCTCCTCCTGGCCTAATCTCTCTCCATCATGTCTCCGGGCATTGCACCATTGGAGGATCAAGCTGATGCGGTTCTTGGTGAGTGGTTTCGTACCCAGATCGGCAATGTTGTACACTGTTCCCACTGCTCGTACCTGTAGTTCTTCTTGCGCCACCAAATCCTGTATCCACAGCAGTTTTCCCGAGATATGCCGAAGTTTCCCGGGGCCTTTCCTATGGCATAGGTGAAGCGCTGCTGAATTGTCAACTAGACAATGGTGGATCACCTTCTCCTCCGCAATGAACTCGAGGCACTTTCCCAGGTAGATTCCATCTGCCGCTGCCGAGACCAATGCATTAAGCTCAGCCTCTACAGAACTCAACGTTACACTCTTCTGCCCTCTTGAGCTTGTGAATACCACCACTCCATTGGCCACGTGAATGGCTGCAGACGTGGAACGCCTGTGGCTCTTGGAACCTGACCAGTCGCTGTCCGAGAATGTCTCCAGCAACCATCTCCCCTTCGTCGTCTTCGTGGAGAGTCCCGTTCCTGGCTCCTCAATCTCCAGCATCGTGTACTGACCCATTGTATTCTTCAAATACCCAACCAACTTTCCAAGCTTCCTCAAGCTTCCGGTTGTTGGGCATGACATTGACCCGGCGAGCTCCTTGATCACATAGGACACATCTGGCCGTTCTTGTGAAAGGTATATTCCACATCCAACCAAAGATCTATAGAGACTTGCGAGATCTGGCCTCAGCTGTGTAGCGCCATCAGCTTCGAGCATCTCCTGGCTGCACGGTAGGGATTGGACCTTTGCACGTCCCATCGTCTCCTCATACATCTCCACCATGCTCTCGGCATATTTGCCAGGGTGAACCTTCAGTCCAGTCTCTGTCTCCTCATATGTTCTCCTCAAAAACTGAAAGGAGCTGCCAGGACCTGCCAGATGCTGTTCTGAGATCTCAAACCTGGCTTTGATGCTGGGCAAGAAGTCGTTCACGACGTACTCCTCCTCTCCAAGATATAAGACGTCGTCCACATGGATCAACAATGTCATCTTGTTGGAGAGTTTTCCTAGGCATGGATTCGTTTTCGAAAACTCAAATCCTTTCTCGCATAGCCAGCCAGTAAAATAATCGAACCAAGCCTTTGCTCCAATCCTCTGTCCTGGGAAGTTTCGTCGGACTTCGAAATGTCCTGTGGCCGTTGTCACCTGGGTTGGTTCATCTTGCGGTACCTGAAGGAAAGCATCCTTTACATCCAGTGCACCTAGCTAAACCGGTGGGCCACCATCCTCTGTCTCCCTCTTCCTCATCAGGTACAGAACTGGTATCAATCTCAAAGCTTGACTTCCACTGGCTGGGCTGTGAACATCATCTCTTCGGTCGGTAGCATATTCTCGTGCCACCATCCTTGACCTCCTCAAGAACTGCTTTGGTGCTCCTGGCAACTTGGATCTGGGTTTCGCCCTCCAGTCATGAACGAACCTGGTGGTCAGCTTCTTGTAGCCACTCTTCAACCCATCCATTGGAATTAAGACTCCCAACTTGTGTAGTCTTCTTTCCTCCACTTCATTTGCCAGATCATCGACCCACTTAGGTGGATCAGGTGGAACTCTATCCAATGGAGCGTCAGACCAGAGCTCATCTGGAATGTCTTGAAAGGACTCTTCTTCTTCTACAGCCCATTCATCTTCCCATTCCAGAAAGTCTTCGTCGATGACCTTGTCCATGTGGTAGTAAAGCTTTCCTTCCACTTCTGTGGCCTCAACTCTCCTCTCTTCTTGCACCCTCTCCTCTTGCTTCAACCTCTTGGCTTCGGGTGCATCTGGCTCCAAACCATGGATATTCTTCTC